AGACCTGGGCATAACGACCATCTAAAAAACGTGGGGTATAAGAGGTCAGGTGAGACTCCTGCAGCCAAGCTATATTGATTTTGGAGGAGCAAAGATACCTAAAAACTTTACCATGGTCACTCGACCATGGGGGCACCCCAAAAGCGTACCCCTCCCCAAGGCGAACAGAAAAAAGAGAAAAAAAGCTAGAGAAAGGGTTACCATCAAGATGGAGGGAACCAGAAAAAAAGAGAGCACTTTCTACACTAATGGGAGTGCGGCAAAGAAAAAAAAACACCCATAGAATGCCACAAAGAGAGCAATGCACAATGTGCATCCAATGGAACCCCCGGGGCACAAAACACCGTGCCCCACATCAGGGAACAAGAGAGGGTGGCATGTAGCACCCCCCCCCCCCGCACCTATCAAACAATATACAGAACCCTCAAAGGAAGAGGAAGACGGCCACATACAGGGAAACCAGGCACGGGGGGATGAAACAAAAAGACATAACAATGGCAACATCTTGTCAAGGGGAGACATAACATTAACAGGGGGTCAGACAATATCGCCCGGTCACAAACACACATATGGCAAACAGTGTGCAGATGAATGGGCGGAACAATACCATATATCTCAGCAATGATCAGGAGGGGTTGCCTGCCCCCATGAGCTGGCCTCTCGTAACAATAGACACAGAGAACCAACTGTTTCTAGGCTGAGACTGCGAGCCCTCCGTCCCATCCAGAGAAGGAAACAGTCAGGGGGCCAAGTGGCAACTGACGCATACCCAATTTGGCTCAATGCGACCATCAACTTGGAGCCCCCCCAAGCAAATAAACCAATATAACATCACCCGAACCAACCTAGTTGAGGGATACAACCTGAGTAGGGAGAAAGGGGGAAAAACACACAGAAAAGCAAACCTCGACAAACCACCACTCCCTCTCCCAGCACCTGAACAAAATCAAAGGGGAAGGCCCACCCAGCTGCCAAATGTCAAAAAAGAGGCCACTGGGACAGCAAAAAGAGAAACAAACCAACAACAAAAGGACATGCAGGTCAGCCCGTTCCAACCAGTTGGAATTTCTGAGAATGAAGCCAGGCAATGGCTTGGGATCTTCTGTCAGCTTTTCAATTGGAAGATTTTCTCGGGCTGCGAAGTAATCTAGGTAGATGTGCTGTTGAATTAGTTGAAGTCTGTGAAGTAGAGATGGGATCTAGGAGATTAAGCTTTGACAAACTGCATTTAAGATCTGGTGGCTTAAAGGCATCATATTGAGACCCCTTATACATAAAGGACAGTGTAAAGGGGAACCGCCAGCTTTAACGAATACGACTGTCCTGAAAAATTTGGAGATATGGCTTCATAGATCTCCTCTTCAAGATAGTAGTTTGGGAGAGGACAGGGTAAATCTGATAAGCGTGACTCTGAAACCAAAGGGTCTTCATTTCTCTAGCCATTCGCATCACCTGTTCCTTCTTTTTATAATAATGAAATTTCAAGATGATGTCCTGAGGTGGGCCTTCAGGTAGTCTGTGACCTTAAGGCCCTATGTATCCTATCTATTTCCAAACGATCCACCGGAACATCAGGAATCAGTTCTTGCAATAAAGAGAACACCGAGCCATGGAGATCTGTAAAAGTCTCAGGCCTGATATGAATATTACTGCGACGAGCTCTATTCTCCACCTCTTCCAGTTGATTCTTAAGAGATGGCTGCAAGGCATACGGGATGGCTGCAAGGCAGAGGGGAACTGTAAAGAGGTGTCAACTGAATCCTCCAAGACTCCAAATGAATGCCTCGTGTGTTCATCTGCAGGGAGGGTCGACGCCATCTTGGATGGAAGCCAGCGCTGCGGCTTAGGATCGATCTGCTGCTTGGACCGGAAACCGATCTGGAGGAGCCATGGGCACCGTTCGCACCCCTACACACTCCGATACCCGCGGGGACTTGATGGGCTCCTTCTAGCCGGAGGGAGAGGAGGCGAAGTGTCAGATGTGAGCAGAGCTAGCTCAAATCGCAGCCATCTTGGGTCGCTCTGCACATGCCGTGCTGCAGCTTCTAATGCACAATGTGATTTAGGCCATTTCAGTACAGGGGAGGAGCCTGTTCAGTTGTGCAAGAGGGGAAATCTGGAGTTCAGCTTTAAATATGATTTAGCCCCTAGGCTCAGGTCTCCATTAAAGGCTACAAATCTTCTGTATTTCCAATCCGAAAAGGTTCTAGACAGGCTGTCTGTTGTCTCCACTCCTTTTTGCGCTGGCAATTGAGCCTCTGGCTATGGCAATTCACTTCCATCTCCAAATCTATGGTGTTCATTGTGGACAGCAAAAACATAAATGTGCAGTTTGGGACAGGGTACGCCATCGTAAATCATTGGCATCTCCATATACGCCTGTAACCCTGAATATATGCTTAGTTTAAAGCCAGCCCCTTTTCAATGGTGGATCAATAAAGGCTTGTTGCGGATTGGAGACTGTTAATGGTTCTTGCATACATTTTAAGGACACATTGCATATGCCCGTCTCCTGAAATTTTCAGATATAACCTGATTGTCTCATTTCTCCACTCAAAGCAGCTTGCTTTATTTGTTGAATCGCCTTTGCTTACTGCCTTTGAACTTTCTTGCCAGAACAGGGCTTCTCCAAAAGGCCACATTTCGGTAATATATGCACTCCTCACTGATCCGCGTTATAAACTTCCTTATATGGAGCACTGGGAAAGTGATTTAGCTGTCAATTAGGACTTATCGGATTGGCAAGATATTGCTTTTGCAAATCAAAAGTTTCTATTAATACTACCCTAATTGAAGTAAATTATAAAACTTTGTTGAGATGGTATTTGGTTCCTACTTGGATTACGAGTATTCATCCATCTGCTTCTGTGTTGTTTAGGCGCTGTGGCCAGGTGGGGTCTATGTATCACATCTGGTGGCAGTGTCCACTTGCAATTAGATTTTGGATTTGCTTGTTTAACTTGGTACATTCAGTGACGGGAGTAAATATGCGCAGATCCCCGGAGACAACAGCGTTCTTTCATAAATTTACTGATAATGTTCCCAAGAAATTCCATAAGCTGATCTCTTACATGTTTCTGGCAGTGAGAATCACCATAGCTAGACATTGGAAGAAATTGGCTATTTCACTTGATTATGTTAAAAAGAAACTAAATTGGTTTATGGTTAATGACAAGCTCACCTGTATCCTGCACAATACTTCGAAGAAATTTGATAGCGTATGGAACCCCTGGATTCAATACATCTCTGTGCCTTAATATCTTCCATCTCGACCCTATTTTCCACTCTTTTCTTTGCTTTCTCTTTTCCTTTCCTCTGTTATGTATTGTTTTTTTATATATTGATGAGGCGAAAGACACCTGCTCTAGTTATGGTTGCACTAAGCGTTTTGCCTTAAACAGTTTGTTCATGGTACACCTTGCTGTTCTTAGTGTCTTATGTTTGTATGTATGATGGTACACTCAGTGATAATGAGCCACGTAAATATTAATAAAAACAAAAAAAAAAAAAAGTCAAATTTATGTGTGCAGAAACCCAAATTGTGATCTGAAAATGAATCTTCTAAATAAATCCAAAAGGTCACTAAAAATCATCTAGTGTCCAAAAAAATTTTTCTTATGTAGTGAACTGTCCAAAGATATGCGTAGTCATACACAGTTCTTCCTTGTTCCCATATTACCTCAAAATAAAGAAATAAACATAATGCATTATCCTATAATTTTAATATGCCTACAAAACACCTCAGTGTACCCGTACACGTTTCGTCGGAATGACGAAAAATGTCAGGAAGTGATGTCAGACGATGTAGCTGGAAGTTCTGAATCTGCCATCTTGGAAGTGGTTTATCCATCTGGGAGATAGTGAGCTTTATACTTTTGCTGCTGGATGTTTTTAGCTGTGCTAACTCTGCAATTTTAAATATAAGCAGTTCTATTAAAATGCCTTTAAGTTCTTTGGAGGTCTTGCACTATTGCTTTATTTTTTTCTTTTGTGGTACCATCATTATTGTGCGGAGCATATGAAGACAGGATCAGGGATAGCTGGTGGTCTATTATAAGCCCTGTTTACCTGTCCTCTGGTAAGGTGTACTGGATGGCAGGTTTTGGATCACAGAAGACACCTTTTTCACTATTATTTGAGTGTATGAGATCACATCATCCATTTTGTTATAATTGAAGGGAGAATTTGCAGCATGTTTTGTACTTTTTTTCTTTTGTCAGTTTGGTAAGGTACATCGATTGACAGGAGATCTTGTGTTTGGGTTTTTGTTTTGTTTGTGCATTCACTTTCACTTTTTCTTGCTGTGATAGATTTTCACATTTGCAGTCACTTAGTGCTGGTAGCACATAGTGTTTTGAGTTATTTGTATATTTTTTCCCAAATGGGTACACTGAGGTGTTTTGTAGGCATATTAAGTTATAAGGATAATGCACTATGTTTATTTCTTTATTTTGAGGGAATATGGGAACAAGGAAGAACTGTGTATGACTACGCATATCTTTGGACAGTTCACTAGATAAGAAAAATATTTTTTGGATTTATTTAGAAGATTTATTTTCAGATCACAATTTGGGTTTTTGTATGCATCATTTTATTTTATTTTTTTTTTGTTTTTTTTTTTTTTTAATTAATATTTATGTGGTTCATTATCACTGTTTGTACTTGCCTTTCTGGGGTGGAAGGTGTTACACTGAGTCATTGGGATTTAGATAACTGAATGAGAAGGAGTGGTTTTTACACTATATGTTGATACACTGTTTGCTTGTACTACTTGTTGTAAAAATTACTTAATAAAAACGATTGGAAACTAAATATGATTTAGCCACTGTAGCTGTCATAGTACTGCACATTTAAAATTATCATCTTGGGCCTCATAATTATACAGATCAATTATGTGTGCTTGGTGGGCACCATAAAGACTTCTGCTATTTATTGTAAACAAAGTTTATATCTTCTACTAAATTAAAATACTGTGCTGATGTTCACTTTTTTCACTTAAGATCTGAAAACCATGACAGAACGTCTGAAGAACAGATATTACGTGACCAAGAAGATCTTCATTGCTGACCTGCAGAGGATTATCACCAACTGCCGAGAATACAACCCACCCGACAGTGAGTACTGCAAGTGTGCCAATACCCTGGAAAAATTCTTCTACTTCAAGCTGAAGGAAGGCGGACTGATAGACAAATAACTGTTTCAGCTGGAAACTGCTATGGAACGCCATTTCATTCCTCCACCATGAACTGCAAGGGGTTCCACAAGCTCGGTGGCACCACTGCCTTAGGACTAGTGCAAAAAGCCACATTCATGTATGTTTACCACCCTCTACGAGGTGTCTAGACTAGGTGAGTCAGTGTGGGGATGTTCTGGAAGGCATGTGTCCTGCCATACAAGTCTCTGCACTTTGAGGTCCCCTCACCTGACAGGAATGCTTAGTTTTCTGTTTACAGGACAAGTGGAGCCCTTATTCATTCCACACATACTGACAAACCTTTACCCAGAGAGTTTACTTGCCATAACAAAAACAAACGCCCATCTTGCCTTTTTAATTGCTTCATTATTTCCCGGAACTATCTCGGATACAAGTGACTGAGCAGTGCTCCAGCTTTTCTTCCTAATGCTTTGCAATTGCCAAAGTTGGATTAGTGTGTTATAATCAAACAGAGCCTTTTGAGGTTGTAAACATAAGGTGCACCTGCTCTGGTTTTCATTGAGCTGAAACTTGCAGCTTTTTTTTTTTTTTTTTTTTTTTTTTTTTTTTTTCTTTATGGAAGCTGCCATATTAGTATTAAATTTGAACATCAAAGGGCACAAGGGAGGAACTAACGATAGACTGCAACTAAGTATGTTCATGATTGCCACATGTTAGGAAAAGATAAAGTTTACTGCAGATTGGAAAATGAAAACAAGCATGATTGGTTGCTATGGGTATGTATTGGTTTCCTTCGGTTTTCCTGCAGCACAGACATTCGAAATCTTCAGCTATATTATTGGTGACAAAGATGAGACAAACAAGAATGTGCACATTTCTGGGACCAAGTGTGAGTTGTAGAAGAATATGCATATAGCCTATAAGTAGGTGATGTTATCCACCTGATTTGCCAATAGTTTTCATCTTCCTGGTACAGTAATAGGTGCTGGATGAAGACTTAGGGGGAAAAACACACGGAGGAGAGGATCAAATGAATTCACCCAGGACTGTTGGCAGCTATGTTTCAATAATATTGAAATGCCGGCCACGCAGAATAAAGCTGAAATCTACGCATACAGTTGATTCACGTATATGGGAGGTGACTTTCCACACTTGCCTGCCACCCTATTATAGAAGTACTGCTACAGGGCGGCAGGGCTGTGCAAAATCACGTGTGTATATATACGTGATTTGCATTTCCAGGTAGGGGGCACGTGTGCGCCATCCTATCCATGCCGCTATTGGCTGCTAGGGATGTCAATCACCAGGTCTTGGCTGGCAATTCCCAGCTGTCACTCAGCAATCGCTGTGTAAAGCTGACGGAGAGACACCTGTGTGTAAACAACACAGATCTCTCCCCTGTCAGCCTGGACATGCTGTTTTGTAAGAGAAATACAAAGCAGCATGCCTCCCTAGTAAAACCGCACACATAATAAAACACACTCAGCACACCGTTAACCTTTTGATCGCTGCAGATGTTAACCCCTTCATGCCCAGTGTCATTAGTGCAGTGTCAGTGCTTTTTATTAGCACTGGTCACTGTATTAGTGTCACTAATGTCAGTGGCAGTCAGTTCCCACCCGGTGTCAGAATGCCCGCCGCAGCCCTGCTATAAGTCGCTGATCGCCGTCATTACTAGTATAAAATAAAAATTCCAGTATATAGACCGCCATTTGTAGACACTAACTTTCACGTAAACCAATTAATTTACACATATTGGGATTTTTTTTTTTTAAGCAAATGCACGTAGCAGAGTACATTTTGGCCTAAAATTTATGACGCAATTTGATTTTTTTTTTAAAAAATTTCCTTGGATATGTTTTATAGCAAAAAGTAAAATATAAATCATTTTTTTTTTCTCAAAATTGTCAGTCTTTTTGTTTATAGTGTAAAAAATAAAAAACTCAGAGGTGATAAAATACCACCGAAAGAAAGCTCTATTTGTGGGGAAAAGAACATAAATGTCATTTATGTACAGCTTTGCATGACTGCGCAATTGTCCAGTTAGTGATGCAGCGCAATATCACAAAAAATGGCCTGGTCAGGAAGGGGGGGTAAATCCTCTGGAGGGCAAGTGGTTAAAGCATTTTATATTTTGTGTCCATCCAGTTTTAAGATTTACATAGCTCAGCCAGAAAGCAGACCTAGCTTGATTATCTGACTCTCTGAAGTAAGGGATAACTTAGGTCACTTTGTGCCCCTAGCGTAGGATTGGACAATCAGAAACAGCACACTAATCTGCCCACTCTGATTGGACAGTGAAGGAGAAGCAGGACACTGATCTGTTCACTCTGCTTTGTAAGGTTACATTCGCACTGATTTTTAGCTATGGTCCAAATTCAATCAACGAGATTTTACTGATTTGCTTTTCCTAGGATTGACAGCTGTGTGTACACTCCAACATATAGTCCGAAGCCACAGCTGTTCATGCCAGTTCGCAAAAGCACTGATCAATCACGAATATCTGAGGACCCTGGCAGCCTATCCTTACAGTGTAAATCTTTTATCCTGTCGCTCACCTTTATGAGCTGTCTGATGTAAATGAACGGCTTTTCCATTTACATTTGACTGCCATCCTATCTGCTAGATGGAAGGGGAACTGATACCTATGCATCTGTTTTTAATGGATCAGGTTGGATTGGATGTAGGGAGGTGTAAACACACACATGTTCATGTACACCCACCACTCCATAGAGGAGAATGGAGGGTCCGCCTAAAAAACTGACAGGTGGACTTGATCAGTCTGCCTGTGTGAAGGCCCAAGAATTCTCCCAAGTACTGCATATGTTTTACAGTGCTTAGCATAAATGAGTGCACCCCAACAGATTTGTCAGAAAACCTTTCCTTTCCGAATCAACATTTTCTATTGGACACCATACTACAAAATACTCCCACAAATGCGATCCATTGATTACAAACAAGATTTGTTAATTTTCACACACAAAGTATTTTTCCTAACAAATTTATTCAAGACCATGTTGCAAAAATGAATACACCCCAATGAAAGTCTTAGGAGCAAAGCTAAATTTTAGACAATAACCTAATAAGAATTCAACTACAGGTGAGTCTAATTATTCATTAAACAGGTGTCCATCAGACCGTTGATTATAAAAGGGCATTACTTAACAAAGAAAACCCTTTCCCATTTCATGCGGTCAGCAATGGCACCACATGGAAGAGAAATGTCACAAGGCCTGAGAAGGAAAATCATTTTTTTACATAAGAAAGGTGAAGGCTACAAGAAGATCAGCAAATCTATACTTATCAGTCAGAATACTGTAGCAAAAGTGATACAAAGATCTTATTGCTACCATCACACAGAGACGTCCAGGCCGTCCACAGAGGTTAACACCGCTACAGGAGCGTCTTCTGAAGAGAAGGTTTGAAGAAAATCACCATGCAAGTTCACTGCAGTTGGCTGAAGAAGTAGAAAGCCTAACTGGGTTGATGGTTTCCCATGACACAATACATCATGCACTGCAGAGGAATGGCATGCATGGGTGTCGTCCACGAAGGAAGCCTCTTCTAAAGCCCATGCACAAAAAATCCCGCCTAGAATTTGCCAGGGCCCATGCTGGAAAAAGACTCTGTACTCTGGAGTGACGAGACCAAGATAAATGTTTTTGGAGCTGCTGGCTTCAAAACTGGCATAGCAAAAGTGAAGAGTATAAAGCAAAATGCATGGTGCCTACAGTGAAACATGGTGGTGGCAATGTCCTCCTGTGGGGCTGCATGAGTGCTGTTGGTGTCAGGGAGCTGCATTTTATTGATGGTATCATGAATTCACAGACGTACTGCTCTATATTGAAAGAGAAGATGCTACCATTACTCCATGCCCTTGGTCGTCATGCACTTTTCAAACATGGCAATGATCCAAAACACACAAGAAACACCCTGAAGAACAGGGTGAAAGTGATTTATTGGCAAAGTATGTCTCCTGATCTGAACCCAAACACCTATGGGGAGTTCTGAAGAGACAAGTTGAGCATCACTCTCCATCCAGCATCCAGGCTCTAAAAGAGGTTGTCCTTGAAGAATGGAAAAGATGGATGGATGTTGCAGTTTGTCACCAACTTGTTCATTCCATGCCTAGAAGACTTGGTGCTGTCCTTACAAATCATGGAGGTCATACAAAATACTAGATGGAGTAGATTTTGTTGTGGGGGTGTATTAATTTTTGCATCAACTAATTTAAGTAAAACTGAATATTTTGTAATCAAAGTTATATTCCTACCTTCCTTTTATGTCATGAGCTAAACAAATGTTCTATAAAACTCAGTTTTGTCAAAATTTTGGAACTGGTTCTTGTGTTCATTGAGAGATTGATTTAAAATCTTACTTTTCAAAAGGGGTGTACTCATTTATGCTGAACACTGTACATGGGTGACATTGCTTTTTTATACATGTAAATGCAGGAGGAGGAGATCCTAAATGGTACTGGCAAGGTCTGCCTGCACAGTATATCTCAGATGAGAAGATAACTGATCACCCAGGACAGGTTTTCCAACCTGCATGTCTGATGCAACTGTATACCTGAGGTCATTGCTCAGTTCAGCAGAAAACAGCCAGACCAAGCAACAATCCTCTCATTTATATGGGCTACTTTACATGGACAGAATTGTGCAAAGCAAGAGAGTCCTGGTGGACTATTAGTGCTAACTTTCTCTTTCCCAGTTTGCATGCTGTAGTACATGAGAAATTACGGTGATATAAACTCAGAATTCAAATACACTATACAATCAAATGTTTTTTTGAACACCTGATAATCTCACATACTATATGGCAAAAATGATGCGACACCCCCTCCTACAGTAATTGAGTGCAGGTGTTTTCAATGAAGGTTCTTGTTAATGTTACAGCATACGAAGAAATATTAAACAACTGTGTGCGTTCAACCTTGTGTTCAGTTTTAGGACATAACTGTGCCCAAAAGTCACGTCCAAAATTATGGTTTGATGAGCTTGGTGTGGAGGAACCTGTGGTGCCTTCAGAGTCTTGAT